TTTATTATTAAGGATTATTCAAGATTTTTTAACTTTGTCAAGTGATAACTTTTTATTATTACACAATATGATTCTTAATTGTTCTTGATTATAAAGTTAATTAAACCTTTAGAACAAACAAATGACACATGTCTAGAGTGAAAATTTATTTATAAATAATAAATTGTGAAGCATACTCGAAAGCTGCTACCAACGGCAATGGTCAAAATTTAAAAAAATTAAAAGCCGCTGTCAGAAACTTGTGGTAGTGAGAGAGTTAAATAATTTTTTAATAAAATAAAAAAATTTTTTAAACAGAATCTTATAAAAGGGATCCCAAACCTCCGAGACATGTTGTGTTCATATTAAAGAGAATGATAAAAAATATTTTTGGATTAAATTTTTTTAAAACAAAAGAATAAATACATACTAAGAAAAACTAACTTTATTTTAGTTGAAGCTCTGCTTCTCCATTTTTGTTGTAGGCCTAAAAGTCAGCATGATATACGCCACAATCTACAAACTTGATAAGTTATTCAAGCGTGTTTTATTCCTAAGAGTTTCAGTTGATTGATTTTTTTTGTTTGCATAAAAGATCGATACAATTTTTCTTTAAAAGTTCCTGTTTTAATTAATTCCTGAAATTGTTCAACACATAATTATTTCATTTTGAATACTTTTACTTATGTACGTTGCTTTAAAAATAAAGTTATTTATGTGTTTTTTTAAAATATTGTCCCCAGCACTCAACCAAAATTGAAGCAAGTCGAGAAAATTTCCATCATTATTGATAAATAATTTATTTTAACTATCATCATTGCGATAACCTCACAAAGCAATGTTCTGATGATTAAGAAATATTATATATTTAATCATAGGCTTTGATCTTGATTTTCTATAGTCTGTTTTTTCCTTTGTTAAATAAATTTTGCGCATCTATATATAGGTCCTGTATTGGTAGAATTTTAGTTCTTTTGACAAAATAGTCATCTAAAAGTGCTAGCTTGGTGGTCATTGCAACTAATAGAATAAAATATCATTTAAAATAATAATAAACATATTTTTATTTTTTAAATAAGAAACTAATTTAGTTACTTTTCTATGAAAAAAATTTTTTTTTCATAGTTTTATAAAAAAAAAATGTGACAACTACAATTGTTAAAAAGTAAATTTTTTTATTAACATTCTAACCACCATTAACGGCATTGTGTAAAGAAATTATGCTGCAAATTAAAATTAACATTAAAATGAAATCTATAAGTTTTTTTTTTGAAAGTCTTTAAAAACAGTTTTTAACTGTTTAAAATTTTTTAAAAACAGAACAATAGAAATTTTATTGTTTTTTTTTTAATTATGTAATAAAATGCATTAACTTTTATGATATTAAAGTGATTAGAAACTTTCTTTAATTTTCTTCTATAACATTAAAATGTTACAAATTCAACAATAAAAAAAGCAATTGTTGCATTTGTAACATTTTTTTTTCATGCTAATAGTTTGCTAATGCTTTATTTATTTAATAAAATGTTAATAATTCACAATGTCACAAAATGATTTTTTAATTTGAACCTCTTAGAGTTATTTTTGAATTAGAGTTGGTTTTGAAATCAAATTATTGTCATTATTGTCTGTGAAATTTCATTGAAAGTCTGTGAAAGAAAAAAATTTTGATTTTTATTGCTCTGAACAAGATTTTCTAAACATTTGAAACAAGATTTTGTTTGATCGAACAACATTTGAAACTTGTTTCAAATGTTGTTCTGAACATTTGAAACTTGTTCTGAACATTTGAAACTTGTTCTGAACATTTGAAACTTGTTCTGAACATTTGAAACTTGTTCTGAACATTTGAAACTTGTTCTGAACATTTGAAACTTGTTCTGAACATTTGAAACTTGTTTGAACATTTGAAACATATTCTATAAATAAGCAGTGTACTTACAAGTATGATATTAAAGTGATTAGAAACTTTCTTCAATTTTCTCTCATATAATACCTTACAACTTAGAAACAATAACAAACAAAAAAGATTGTTTAAAATTTCCTGATTGTTTAAAATTTTCTTCAGAAAATTTTAAACAATCAGGTTCTAGCTCTGAACAGATCAAGCAATTTTTAAAAAAGGATTACTCTTATTAAATATAGTTCTTAAAAATTATTGTTGAAGGGTAATTTCTTACATATCATATGTTATAATAGAGTATTCCCTACAAAGAAATTAAAAGGAATACTTGCTGTTGTAATCAATAAAACAGTTTAGAAGATTCTTAGGGTAGTCTAGATTACTGGGCTTTTTGAACTGTTGCCAATGATGGTTGAAGTCATGATGGAGCGATTCTGTTGCTTGCTCTGAATAGATGACAAGTGAGTGGTTGTGGCGATCAATAAACTGTGTCACATGAAAAAAGACAGAATGCACTTTGGGAGTGACACTCGTGTTTGGAATGTTGAGATAGGAATCCTTGAATTCTCCAATGAGAATGCGATAGTTGTCTTGAAGAACATTTCCAAAGGATGCATGAACTACTGCATCAAACTTTCTGAATGTGTCAATGAATGGGAAATGCTAAAAAACAAGCATGCTTTTCCGCAAGTCAATATTTTGTAAAAGCTTTTTGCACTCATTGCCTGCAAATTTCCCTCTGTCAAAAGGTTGTTGTTGAATGTTCATCATTTTTGGCCGCTCTGGTGTATTTTCCCACTGCAGACACAGACTCTTGAAGAGGTGGTTAACAACACCAAGAAGCAAGTGAAGTTCCATGGGTGGAATGAAGTCCAAGATGAGTGTTCATTCAGGTAATTTAATAACTAGCTCATGCACAACATTGTGAAAGTCCCTGGCTTTTTTTTGTTTCGGCACCTGCTACTTGGAAGCCTGTATAATCAGTTTGAATGGAGACAAATGTTTGGAGCTCACCACTCTGATGATTCTTTGACTCAATGTCACACCAGTTACAAGAGTTCGCTTGAGTGAGTCTGCAAACCACAAATAATGTTTGGCAACGCAAATGGCAATCTCTTGAGGCTCAATTTGTTAATGATCTGCTTTACATTATCATAACTTTCAGATAGGTTTTCTGTGATAGCCACCATATGTTTATGCTTCACTCATTAAAATCCTTGAAGAGAGTTTTCTTAGTTGGGGGAGATGGATTTGGTTTTAAGTCAAGAACCCCTAGAGACACTGTCAGGAACCCCCTCCCCCATCAATTCCCAACTTGACAAGTTTATTTGACTGAGGACCTCTGATCTGAGCTAAAGTATTTCTCAGAGCTTCAACATCTTTGCAGTACACCAATTGGCATTTGGATTCTTAGCTAAGACTTTTGGATGTATCTGAAATTTCTGTGGCTATATTGTTAAGTGTTGAAGCAAGCTTGTTCATCCCTCTGTTTGAAAGCCCAGTCTTGTTTTGAAGTTGTTTAGCAGTCAAGATGGATGTAGCTGCTGGAAAAGGTTCTCTTTGTTATGATGGCCAAGGAAGGTTTACATCAACATAACACAGTTTCTCATATTATAAAGTTTTTTTGCTGTAATAGAGTCACTTGAAAAAAAGCATATTAAGCATATATGACGAAAAATATATATTTTTTACCTGGAGTAACTGAAAGATATCTTCCTATTCCTTGACTAAGCCACAGAGTGCCATGCCATGGAGTGAAGAAACCTTGTTAGCTATCACAGAATCAGCAACTCTTTCTGCTGCTTTTGTGTCTTTTGCTGCAACTTCAAACAAGTTCTATCAAAATATTCCTTTTGTACAATTATGTGGAATCCCTCTTCCAATCAGTGAAAAGCATGCTGAACAATGTTTCTCAACAACTGGCCGTTCTTTCGGCTGACTGGTTGTGTTTGTTGTTCCAATCGGTTGAGGGTTGTGTTTGTTGTTCCAAATGTGTTTTTTCCCGCATAAATCATGCAATTACACAGTGGTTCTCTTGTTGCAGAACGAATGTTTTGGTAATGAGGGAAGTTAAACATCGTCATGATTTTTCTTAGGCCTACTCGACACTTTTCACAGATACCAATTGGGACTCGGAATTTAAAATTAATAAGGGGCCAAGGAACTCTTACTTAAACAGGTTGCTTATCTTTGTATAAACACATAAACACTTTGTACATTTAACACAAAAAAATTACACAAAAAACTGTACAAACATATTAACAACAATTATCAAATATAAATGCACTATAGTTACAAAACCACTTGATATATTGGTACATTCTAACATTTAACTTAATATAATTACACTTATGTGACACAAATTTACAATTTTAATGTAAAAAAAGTTTTATTTCATTTCAATAATAATCTTGTCTATAGGCCAAAAAATCAAAATTTTAAAATTGATTTTTCTTTTACGGACTATGATGAAAAATTTCAAAACCAACTCTAAGGTACTCCTACATACTTATACTATCATACCCCTAAAGGTTTTTCTCGGGAAAAGAGGTTTGAATTAAAAGTCATTTTGTGACAGCTGCAGAATCATTTTTTGTATTTTGTTATTTTTTTAATAAATATAATAATCAAGAGTTTTGTAACTTCTTAGGGGGAGTAGTACCCCCTTTACCTTTAAAAAATTTATTTCGTAAAATAACTTAAAAATATGGTTATTTAAAAAAATTAATGTGTTAAAAATTCTTTTCAAAACTAGAAAAAATAGTTTTTATTCTAAACGTAAAAAAGTTAAGTTTAATAAACATTATCGCTTAAAATAAGAAACTTTAATACTTAACATAAGAAATATTGATACTTTACATAAGAAACATCGATTCTTAAAATAAGAAAAGTTATATTTAACATAAGAAAATTTACTAAAAATTATTGCTTTACATAAGCAACATCAATACTTAACAAAAGAAACAAGATATAAGAAACATTAGAAACATAATATACTTACTGTAACACTTACAGTTATAAGTTTTTTTAAATTGCTTTATATTACTTGTTTTATAAATAATATTTAAAATTTTTTTTTTTTTATATTAAGATTTTTTTTTAATTATTATTTATTTAGATTTATTTATACTTCTATACTGAAAGTTCCAAGTCCAGTTTTTTACTTGTTTATTCAATTAATTCATGTCCAAATAACTGCTCTGATAGTGGTATTTGCTCTAACGGAAAATGCAATTGTAAAGAAAACCAAATAGGAACTAGTTGTGAATTTAATTATTGTCCAAACAATTGTAGTATTCTTGGTGGTAATAAATGTGATCAGGTATGTTTCATATAAATTTCTATTTTTACTATGTTTTACTTATTGTTTACTATGTTTATACTTTAATATGTTGTATAGCACTTTTATTTTCTTTGTAATTTTCATATTTCATATAAATCATATAAAGAACCACACTAAATAAGACAGAAATTTTTAAGAAAAACTTCAGTTGTAAGAAATTAAGTCTTTGCTTGAATTTTAAGGTTCACTACAAAATGCACATAAATTATAAACTTTTACTTATTAATTGAGTTGATGAATTAAATAATTTAATTATTAAGTTGCTATAAATTTAGTACTTTTTAATTTTTTATGCATATTTACAAGAATTTTAGAAAAAGGTATTAAAAATTTTAGGATTGTGTGGAAAGAGGAGACTCAATCAAGTGTGATTAACATATTAAAGTGTTTATATTGTAACGTTACCTATTATCATGATCCTCTGTGATAAATATCAGTATGACACCAAGGTTTATAACCTGTTTTTAAAAACTACCTAGGGAAGAATGGAATGATAAATTTTGTAATGGAAAAAATCTTTAGACTCTAACATCAACTCAATATCAAAAAACAAAAATTTAAAATAAGCAGTTTGAATTAAATAAAATTGAGTTTCATTAAAAACTGTAAAATTTTGTTTCACAGTTGCAATATAAATGTTTTTACATATACAATCATTAAATAATAATTAATTTTATTAAAATTAAAATTACAATCAATTACAATTTAATGTTTTCTTAATTAAGATGAAGAAAACAATATAATAGACAATTTAAATATACCAAGAAAAAACAATTTTGCCGATTTTGTTATGGTTTATTTATGATTCAAATTGGAATTAAGAAAATATAATTGAAAAAAAAAAGAGAACCAGTTAAGCAAATATAAAATTGTAAAAATTGAGAAATTTTAGGAAGGTGTCATATACCAAGATTGCTTTTTGTAACTAGCAAGATTAATTTTTTTTTTACAAGAGTTTGTTACCAATGACATAAAAGTATGAAAAATATACCATTGTATGTAAAAAGTATTTTTATTAAGTATTAGGGCTTGGCAAAAACCAGGAAATATTAAAAAACACAGGTTTTTTTATTATGAAAAGGAATTTTTATGATTTCTGTATAAATTAACTGTAACCTAATGAATTTAAATACTGGATTTGGATCTGTAAACAAAAGAAAACAAAGAAAACAAAATTTAGCAAAATCATATTTTTTCCAACAATAAATATACAGTTTTTTTTAACATTAAAAATCATATTTAAAGGGACTACCAATTCCCGAGACATGTTGTGTTCATATTAAAGAGAATGTTAAAAAAAAAACGTCTGAGGAAGTTTTTTTAGATTAAAACTAATTAATAAATGTATACCAAGAAAAACAAATCTTGTTGTTTTAGTCGAAGCTTGTCTTCTCCATTTTCTGCTGTATCTGGGGTGTGTAAAATAAATGCGATTTTCCAGGCGCATTATACAGACTTGATAATTTATTCAAGTGCGTTTAATTCTTCCTATCATAAGCAAGGTTTTTGAATCTTTAATTAACAAACACTTTATCTCTCATCTCAAATTTCATAACCTACTTTCTGATCATCAATATGGATTTTGATCTTCTCGTTCTACGGCTGATTTGCTTACAGTAATAACCGTAAAGTTTTATCGCGCATTAGATAAAGGTAAAGAGGTTAAGGCCATCGCTCTTGACATTTCTAAAGCGTTTGATAAAGTTTGGCATGCTGGTCTTCTCCATAAGCTTTCTTCTTACTGTGTATCTGGAAACATCTTTAAGATTATTTAATCCTTCCTTTCCAATCGTAGTATAAAAGTTGTCCTTGATGGACAGCACTCTTCTTCTTATTCTGTAACCTCAGGAGTTCCTCAAGGTTCAATCCTTGGCCCTATACTCTTTTTAATTTACATTAACGATCTTCCAGATATTCTCACATCTAAGGTGGCATTGTTCACTGATGATACTACCATTTATTCTTGTCACAATAAGAACCCAACTCCCTCTGATTGCTTGCAGGGGGCATCTGAGCTTGAAAAGGATCTCACTTCTGTAACAGCATGGGGCTCACAGTGGCTGGTGAACTTTAATTCAGATAAAACTCAATTTTTTTCAGCCAATTGTTATTGTAATAATTTAGACTTTCCTATATTTATGAATGGTAATGTACTTGATGAGTCATATACCCTTCATCTTCTAGGATTAACTCTTACTTCTGATCTTTCTTGGAAACCTTATATCAAATCCGTTGCAAAATTAGCATCTGCTAAAGTTGCATCTCTTTATCGAGCTCGACACTTTCTTACTCCGGATTCTATTCTCTATCTCTATAAATCTCAAATCCGTCCTTGTATGGGATACTGTTGCCATATCTGGGGCGGATCTTCTAATGATGCCCTTTTCTCTTTTAGACAAGATGCAAAAACGCATTGTAAACATAGTTGGACCTGCTCTTGCAGCCAAACTTCAACCTCTGTCACATCGTCGTAATGTTGCTTCTCTTTCTCTTTTCTACATATACTATAATGGGCACTGTTCTAAAGAGCTAGCTTCTCTTGTGCCATCTACTAAAACTAACTTGTGTTACTCGTCATTCAATTAAGTCTCATCCTTTTTCTGTTACTGTTCCTAAGTGCTCCAAAAACTCTTACTCGTCTAGTTTTTTTTCCTCGAACATCAGTTCTTAGGAATTCCCTTCCTTCATCTTGCTTTCCTGATTCATATAATTTGCAATCTTTTAAGTCGTTTGTCAATCGTTATCTTGCTCTACAATCTTCATCTTTTCTTTTCCAGTAACTTCCAACACTAATTAGTGGTTGCTTGCAGCCTTGTTGGAAGCGAAGATGTTAAAAAAAAAAAAAAAAAAAAAAAAAAAGAATTCATAGAAGTTTTAGTATATGACGTCATAGATTTTTTTGTTTGTTTAAAACACTGATTATTATTTTTTACATGCAATTTCCAAATCATATTTATTTTTATTATATTTTAAAGTTCTAAAATGTGTTTGTAAAAAAATTAAAAACAAAATAGTGTTTTGTTTGCGCAAATTTTTTTAAATAAGCATCTATAAGTTTTTCTTTCAAAATATTAGATAAAATAATTTTTAACCTTAATAATAATGCACTTTTATTAATTTACTCTGTAAATATTAAAAAAAAATTAACACATTTTTTCTCTGATTTTCAAAAATGTATTTTTTGGTATTGAGGTGATCTTATTTCATTATTTATATTTCCATTATTATAACATACAGTATATATTATGGCGGAGGCTTAAAAATTAAAAAATTAATATATATTAATTTTTATTTTTTGGACATACATGAAAACATAATTAACTTGAATGTTCTTGAAACATCTTGCGCAAGAATAAAAAGAATATTCGCGAACACTAAAAACTCGCCAAATTTACCAACAAACTAATTCTATTGGTTCAAAAAATATGCTGACTAAACAAAATAAAGTTCTAGAGCAAGCCTTCCCAGGAAAAGTGTGCGGTTTTTCGTCTCGTATGACCACACATGATTATAATATTTTAGAAAACTTGAACACGGCCATTTGCAAGTTTTAATGCTGAAAAAGTTTCAAAAACAAAAAAACAAAACTAACAAAATAAAAAGAGATTAAAATAGAAAAAAATAATAACAAATTAATAATTTAAATAATTTGTGTACTGTTTTTATTTTTGCTTATTTAGAGTTACATTCAGCAACAAAATTAGATAAGGCGAAGCAAAAAAAAAAACAGTTTGAAGTCTACAGTAAAAAGAATGATTTTCCTATACTTAATTTTTTTTAAGAGGATAGCAAAAATACAAATTGCAATGTGTTTGTAAAATTTGTTTGTATAATTTTAATGTAACAACAAGGGTTGAATTAAGCGAATGCAAAACGCAAAATCTGGAAAAATATCTAGTATTTAAAATTTTAGTTTATACAAAACTGTATTCCTTGTTTTTAAGGGGAGAATCAACTTAAATTTGATAGCGAAAAAATAAAAAATAAAACAAACTTATGATTACAAAAGTAAGAACACTCTAGTCACTAACTGCATTACAAAAGTAATAACACTATAATAGTGTTATTACTTTTATAACGCACTTATAACTTTTAAAATTCATTCTTTGTTCAAGCAACATTAGTATTTCCAAATTTTAATTGAAGTAGAAAAATATCTAGAAGAATAAAGTAGATGTTCAAATAATATTAAAACTAAAGTAACTTGACAAACAACTTTATGAAAACGTATCGTATTAAAAGATTATTATTACCATTATGAAAAACGTTACTAATAGACCGTAAAAACGCGCATTAATTTTAAAATTAACCAATAAAAATTTTTTATTGGTTGATTTTAAAATTAATGCGCATTTTTACGTAACGTTTTTCATAATGCTATACTTTTTATAACGTTGTACTTTTTTATAACGTTGTTTAAGTGATATGTGAAAGTTCCTGAAATTTTTAATAATATTTGAATATCCGCTTTATTATTTCTATATGCTTTTCTACTTTAATAAATGTTTGGAATTAATAAGCGCCTGATAAGTCACGTTTATTTTACAGATTCCAAATACCGCAGAAAATGAGAAAAGCAAAAAAATCGAGAAACAAGAAATGTATACCAAGAAAAACAAGATTTGTTTTTCTTGGTATACATTTATTAATTAGTTTTAATCAAAAAAAATTTGCTCAGGTTTTTTTTTTAACATCGGGACTTGGTAGTCTTTTTAAGAAAGACTCTTAAAGACTTTTTAAGAAATCCAACAGTTCAAATTTCATAAAAGATCATAATTTTGTGAAGAAAATACCAGCGGTTGAAAAACCTCTCACATTCTGTTGATGTAAAGCATTTAAAAAGTTTTGGACAGTTGTTGATTTTGTTTTAGTGACACTTAACATTTTTAATTCATTTTGAATGGATGATACAAAACTGTGTTTGTTTGCTTTTTCACATTCTGCATCCTGCAAAACCTCAGATATCGATTGTTGCAATT